CCATGTGAGCATATTTCTGTGTGAGCATATTTCTAAGCGAGCATTTTCCCATGTGAGCTTTTTTCTATGTTGGCATATTTCTGTGTGAGCTTTTTTCCTCGGAGGATTTATACCTGTGAGCATTATTCTGTAAGCATTTTTCCTGTAGGCATTTTTCTGGTCACCCTTACATGTATATGTAATTAAACAAATTTAGAAGTACTGCTGTAGGAACTCTAAAGATGTAGAAATACTGATTGTGCATCACATAGATATTGAAGTGCATTGCATAAAGTCTTAAGTATTATTAATATACTATAAAGAACAAATTTCTTTAAACAATTTTATTAATGAGACAACAGGATTGGAACAAATATCAAGTGGCTTTTTTGAAAACAAAATTAAAACGAATGTTTATCTTTCGAACGGTCTTTTTGTCATGCCATTTTACGAAAATTAAAACGTACAGAAATTAAAGATAAGATGAAGAGGAAACATACAGGGTGCTACAATAGGATAGATTGTAGATCCATGTTGAAGAGGAAGAATTCTGGTTGCATAGAATGCTAAATTGTTGAATCCGAAATGACTAGGAAAGCAACTAAGTAAGATTAAATGTTTATTTTTTATTTCAACTGACATTTGTAGTCACAATTCACTTGGCACCCTAATCGTGCCTATTTCCAGAATATTTACATTTTTTATACTGACTGTTGCAATAGGAAGAGAGTACAGTGAAATAGTGTCCAAGTGGCAACAAAGGCAGAAGCTAAAGTGCACAGTCATCTATGGAAGCTCACGAAGAAAATGTTTTGGTTAGGTTAGAAAGGTTTCAGTTCTCAAAATTTGAGTTCAGGTCCCAAATTAGCTGTGTGATCAACGTCATGCAAGGAATGCAAGATGAATTGATCTAGAAATGACGCAGTAAAGAAAAGTTATTACTACTTTTAGAATACAGAGAGGAAATACCCAAAGTAAAAATGAGGAATTAAAAGCCTATTGTTAAATTGAATTATAAGGTCGATTTACATATTTTTTACATTACATCTATCTAGCTATCTATATATTTATATATATATATATGCAAGATATAAAATACGAAAAACAAATACTACTTCTTTCTTAGCAATATCCTGATTTTAATTTGGCTATGTCCCCTTCCTGGGATCTAAAATTCATCATGTCTGAAAACCAATCCACATTATATCAATTTTAAACCTGCAATGCAGTAAGCTCTTGTCCAGTCACCATTCCAAACTTAAACAAAAGATTCAACTTTTATAAATAGGCTTTGCTGAAATGCACACTCACTTTTCATCTACCTTCTTCTTGCTAAGAAGTGCTCTTGCATAGTTCTGTCATTAATATTATCCATTGTCTGAAAAATGCAATATGCTACGAAAATAGTGGGGTGTTTATTGCATCCATATGTGTAAATGTTAATACATGCGCTCAGAATTATTCATCAAGAAATAAAATTCAGCGACATATTAACCCAATGAAAGGTTACCATATTTTTTTTAACTTGACCTGCTCCTCCATATTCTTAGCCAAATGAAGTCATGAATGTCCAAATGGCAGAAAGCACTCTGAATGGCTAAAGAAATCAACCTAAAGTAGCTACAAAATATCTTGCATTAGAAATATAATTTAAGCAATTGTTACTAATAAACTCAGCAAAAAGGCATTAGAAGTAGTTTTGAACGAATTGAAAAATCATGATACACCTCAATAAGTTTGTCTTCAAACTGATCTTTCAAATAAAAAACAAGAAAATATTTTGAATTTGTGTTCGGTATTTTAATAAAGAATTTGGTATCGAGAATCAGGGCTGGTGTAGGGACCCGTACAGTTTCATTCAATTTACTACAAATCTGCATGGTACGAATTACCAGTTTTTAAAAGAAATGAAGGAAAGATAATGGTTAGAGGACTACTATATAACAAGCGTATGTAAATATCAATAAAGATAGGTTAAATTTCCGATTGAAATACAACTACGTTTAAAATTTTTTAAACCAAAATTTTAAATCACTAAGATCATTACATGACCATTGGTAGTTCTCTACTGGATATCTTCAAAGAATATCAAGGAACTAAACAACTTGACCTCTCTTCTAGCTCTTTAGCAAACTATTTTTCCATCTAAATAACATAAACTGTTATTCAGTGCAATAATTTATTCTAAACTAAACTAGAATTTTTGTTTTATCACATTAGTATCAGACAAGTATTCATGTTTCAATTGATCTACCTTATGATTATTTATTTATTTAATATCATCCATCATTTCTCTGTATGGCTCTTATATAAAACCAGCAGTATTTATACAGTTACAGAATATTTCAATAAAGAAATTTAAATGGTCAGAGAAATTTTCCCTCCTCTTCAAACATATTAATGTTTCTAATTAACACATTAATGCTAATTCTAGAAAACACAGAAATGTAAAATTTAATATTAGGCAAAAATACAATCTTATTTTGGCATTGATTCTGAGTAAAACTCATTCATTTCAAAGGACATTTAGAGACACAGAAGCCACACTTTTCTATTCCGAATTGAAGTTCTCTTTACCTAATTTTCATAACTAAATTTTTGGTTAGTCTAGATTTCAGGGTGCCCCTTGGATTATCGCCAAGCAGTTGTTTCATTTATGGTAACCTGAGTAGTTGAATTTTATGGAAAACCTATTATGACTTGATTGTTTGCGTGATTGCGGTGAATTTGACTGACGGGAAAATATTTGTAAAGGCTTATTTCTGCATTAGATGTCAGTTAGGAAGTATGTTACTTATTTTGTGCTGTACACTGTAAAATGGCGGTATGTGATGAGATTAATGTGAAGTTTCTGTACGATTTGGAATGAAAGCATTAATTGACTGGTGTGTAAATGAAGGTTTATTTAGTATTCATTATTAGTGTCCTGTTTGTACGAAGGAAATGCATATGGTCAAATGTAAAGATCAGATGGCTTTCAAGAAATGCCATCAGCAGTCAGGCATTATGGAGGATATTTTTTACTCTTATTTTTGTGAATTTATGCGGTGATGGCAGTATGCATAGTTCAGATAATTTTAGAAAGTTTTAGGATGCTGTTAAGGAATTCTGAGTGCCACAGACTTAAGATGCAAAAATTTCTAAATATGGTAAGTTGATATTTCCTTTTTGTAATGCATATATGCGATAACATGCATTTCCCTTTTTATATTATTTCATTGTGAAATTTAAAATGCACTTTATTGAGCTTCAATTAGTTACAAATTTTGTTCAATTTTGATAATGAGTAACTTCGTTTTAACATTATATGATGTTATCATTCTCCTGATTTTTTTAAAAGTGAAAACAAACCAATGTGTACATGGGCACAGAGTTTGTGCAATTCTTTAACTTGTTATTTTGATTTTGCATAGCGACCATCTTGAAATTGTGCCTTGCTGGTCAATCGCAAAAAATCACCAAAGGACACCCTGAAATATATTTTTACCAAATTTTGGTTTAATCCTAGTATCCAGTACACATGGGATTTGGCTACTTTTGGCGACTTTATGATGAGCAGTAAAAACTGGACATATACAATGAGTATTAAACGGGTCATTCAAAGAATATATATAGTAATGGTATATAGTGCATAGTATATACATAGACGTTCTTTGGGTTATTTTTGGTGTTGGCGATAATTTTCAAAATCGCGCCAAGGCTGCACCGTATACTAGGATTTTACCCAAATTTTTTAACATATAAAACAAATACTTACTTAATTTCTTACTACACACAACTTTATAATAATTCAATTTGCACATTAATTTAACTGTTCCCTTTTTTCTAGCTTTCTGCTCTTATTAACATGCCATCCGAACTAAACCTATAATCATAGAAATAAAAAACCTTTATGTTTTATCTAAACTGGTGATGAATGCATAATATACAACTCTATATTTCTGTACACAGTTCATTTATCAAATGATGCAAAATACCTGCAATATCACGTGAACTAGCAAGTCTGACCTAGGAACAGAATTTAGTAATTTAAAATCCTGCTCTACAGGACATCCCAGCTGGCTGTCTATAACTATCAAAACAATGGCTTTTTTTCGAATAACGCTCAAATCAAATAGCACTTTTATGTCAGGCACAGATGATAGATAGTTAAAATAGCCATAAAAATTTTTAATTTCTCATACGTATGGTGAAATGAGAAAACAGTGGGGCAAAGAAATTAGTAATTACGATTAAAATTAATAGATGTATATAAATAAAATGGCTACAACAAACAATCTAAACAGAGTAAACAGCAGAATATAAGCAAATACTTCATAATGCAAAGAAAAAAACCTAAATCAAGCAAAAGACGGGTATAGGGAACCATGTCAATACGATTTCTATTAATATAATGGCACTTTCATGTCAATATGATAATTGAACCATATCTGTAAAAAATATATAATTTAAAAATGAATCCTTATTCACACAACATAAATTAGAAGAAAACTTATCAGAAGTTACATCGAACGCCACTGCAACCCTTCTTCTGTTTCACGGGGGGGATGGTGCATAAACCTGGGCCGAAGGTCCTACTCCTGTTGAACAAAATTAAAAAATTATTAATTATGTAAGCATTAACACAAAGAAAATTTCTAAATAATAATAAAAAATTAAGCAATAAGAAGAGATTTAAGTAACAAATTAGATAATAAATTTTGTTTTTAGCACACTTGGCTGAGTAAGACGGTTGGTTGCCATATACCACGGAGTGTAATATATCTTATACAGATGCAATATATCTTTATACACCGTGCCATATATATATTTCCTCTTCCTACTTTGTGCAAAATTGCCTTGCTTTTACCAAATAAATCTTTTTTTTGGGGGGGGGAGTTCGTTTAGCTGCCCGTTTTTGAACTTCTTTCCAAAATAGAGCCATCTGATATTTATTTTAGAAACTAGCTGCAATAATAGAAATATTCATACAAATATGTCTGCTTTCTAATTAATAACAATGAACTTTTTTCATCAATATATGTGCAGAGACCTATTCCTATTTTGAAGCATATATCCACACTGCTGAATCGTCATCGAAATATTTTCCTTTGATTACTTTCATCTGGTGTTTAGCGCGAATGTTAAAGTCTTAATTTTTCGTTTCTAATTTTTTTCTTCTTTTTAAGAAGGAATCAGGTATTGTTTATATTTTCATTCTACGTTAAATATTGCTTATTTTTAAAAATCTTTTTGAAATAATTAACAGAAATATATTATCTGAATTATACCAGATTTGTTGCGGGCCATTACTCCACTTTGCTTCATATTGAATATTTTGCCACATATTGAATAAAATTGGATGAGATTATCAGTGCTAATTTATCTGTATTCAGCCGTACAGTTTTTTCATTTTTATTTCAAAATACTGCAATTTACAGGGATATTTGCGATAAATTGTGTAAATGTCTAATCTGCATTTTTCAAGACTCGCTTCACCTCTTAGTATTCTATATAAAAATCATTTTAGAAAATCTTATCTTAATACGTAATTGTAAGCACATTAATAATAAATGTACTTTTAATAACGCAAATATTTTTTAATCAACAATATTTAATGTAATTTGTGGAATCCATATTTATTATTTACACTATTATGTTATGTTTAAAGTAAATGTAATAATTGTGAAATCAATATTTATTGCTTTCAGTTTTAAAATATTTACGTAAATTCTGTATTTACTTGCATATTTCTCTTTTTCGCTTAATTTTCCCTTCAGCATATGATTTAGAATGTGCTATCATTCTGATTCCCTTTCTTAATAACAATGTAAAATGTGTTCTCAAATAAGAGAGTATTTTCTATAAGTAAACAGAATGTTATTTAAATTGATAAGATCTTTGAAATACACAATGTGATAATATTAGTCTGTCTTTATATGTGCTTTTTAACATGCTAGCGTATCATCTCTTCAGAAGTACTTTTTTTTTTTTTTTTTTTTTTTTTTTTTTTTTTTTTTTTTTTTTTTTTTTTTTTTTTTTTTTTTTTTTTTTTTTTTGCCTCATGATTTTCAGGCTATAAAAGTAGTAGGAAAAGGGGATATACCAATAAATATAATATGTTTCTAGAAAAGATGCGTTTTAAATCTTTTGAAAATTTTATTTATTTTTTAGTTTTTTGAATAAGATTAAGAAATTTTTTTTTAGGAAAAATTCATTATGGCTGAAAGATTGAAAGACTTTAGGGGACGATACAATCAACTGTGCTCTGAAGGACAAATTTGTCCACTTAAAAGTGTTGGCAAGAAATTGAAAGGAAATGAATTTTGTACAGCTGTGGAAGCAATACGTTATGAACACTGGGAATATGTGCTGAAAGCTCTAAGTATTGACAATAGTTTAACTAAAGTACAGTTTGTATCGGTTTTAACACCAGCAGATTATGCAATGGTTAATGGTAAGTATTGTTATTTGTTTTTATGTATCTATGAATTTAAAATGCATCCAGTATGAATTACTTTTCTTTGTGGAGCCGAATTTGTACTTCCCCAGTATGTTTTTTTTTTTAAATTTCTGTGACTAACCTATTGACTAGATTCTGTGTGAAATGTATCATTTAATGATAATGCTAAAGTAAAAAAGCAGCAACTAGACTGCGCTCATTTATAGGTTTTATTTCTCAATTAAATAGTTTTTGCTTTAATTATCATTTTTTTGCAATGATTTATTGTTAGTTGCATGGGCAGCATTTATATTTTGGTAAAAGTATATTTAAGGGTGCACCTTGGCGATTTCTGGTGGTACATAGATACCGAGTTTGTTTAATTCTTTGGCTTGCATAGCGGTGATTTTTGAGCCAAAAATTGCTACTACACAAAGCCAAAATAACAAGACAAAGAATTGCACAAACTCGGTATCCATGTACACATCAACGTGTTTCCACTTAAAAAAAATATCCAAGAATTGCACAAAAATGGCATTGAGCATTCCCTTTAACCATGTACACATCAACCTACTTTTACTTTAAAAAAATCATCCCAGAATTGCACAAAATTGGCATTGCGCACTCCCTTAAGTTTGTCCATGTACACATCGATATATTTTTACTTAAAAAGTCAAAGGAGCTTCCAATTCTACAGTAGAGGCAAACAAAAAATACATAACCTCAATAACCTACATTTTAAACCAAACAATAAAATAACATAAAAAAGGGAAAAAAAAAACCTGTTATGTATTTAAGCACTACACAAAGCACATATCCACTTACCTTATTTAGAAATTCCTTCGTCTTTAGTCCGTGGCACACAAAATTCTTTAACAGCATCCAGAAACTTCCTATATCTCAACTCGAATCCATATATTGGCGCGCCACATAAATTCACAAAAATAAGAGTGAAAAATATCCTACGTAGTTCCAGACTGTCTGGAAAATGGTTACTAAGTAAATATTCATTTACGCAACAGTCAATTAATGCACTTTTCCTCTTTCGTTCCAAATTGTACAGAAACTTCAAATTAATCTTACTACATTCAGCCATTCTACAATCAAAATAATGAAACAAGCAATCTACTTCGTAACAACATACACCACGAAAGCCCTTAGGAAACATCCCATGATTCAAAATTTCCTGGAATAATGCAAATGATTACATCATAATAGGGTTTTCATAACATTAAACTACTCAGGTTACCATAAATGAAACAACAACTTTGCGATAATACAAGGGGTACCCTAAAGTCAACTCTAACCCATATTTTTGAAGCTTTAAGCATTTAAATCCATAGCAAAGTTAATAAAAAAATATTTCTGAAGTTGTTTATCATGTAGAGTTGCTTGAAGTAATTCTCAATTAAAACTAGCAGCAAAGTTAATAAAAAAATATTTCTGAAGTTGTTTATCATGTAGAGTTGCTTGAAGTAATTCTCAGTTAAAACTAGCAGCTAGTTATTATATAAACTCTCAATAGTATTGGTTTTAATTTTTGCATGCTGTAAAAATTAAAACATGCAAATTTGCATTTATGCAATTAGATGTCTGTGTAATAAAACCTTTGTTTCATTGTAATGCACATGTAATTTGAATAATGACACTTTTTGAGGTCAATATGCATATGAGAGAAGGGGTTTTAATATAGATTTTTGTTGCTTTTTTTTTTTTTTTTTTGTGTGTGTGTGTGTGTGTGTGTGTGTGTGTGCTATTTTGAGTAATTTTGAGTGTTTCATTATGGATGTTTGTTATATGGCATTTAACTGTGGATGTTTCTTACATTTTTAATTTTGTTAATTCATTCTGTTTATTTTCAATGTGCTGCCATTTTTTAAAATGGCTACTGTTATTTGCAGATCGGCTTGGCAAAAAATTAAACACTAACGATTGTAGGGTTGGGTGGATAATGCAAAATTGCCCGTAAAAAGGATTTTTTTTTTTTTACCACTTGATCAAAGGAAACTGTTATACAGAAATTTTCAATGCAAATACAAATTTATTTAAAATTTATAAAGATTGGCTTTACTGCTGCAAAAGATCTGTTTGCAACAGTGCATTTTTTGCCCTAACAGTTTTAAATTGGTAGTTAAGATATTAAACATATGGAAGTAAAAATCAACTTTTTAAGCATGATATTTAGTACACTTAAAGTTAGAGGGGAAAACATAATACAGTCAAAAGTCGTTAATTCGGACACCCATAATCCGGAATGATCTATAATCCGGACATCAAAGCTACAATCTTTCTGGCAGCGTCGCGTGACGCAACCGTAAGACCTTGAACGCTGGGATGTGCTAAGCTAACATAATCTAACTATCTATTTCAGCCTTGCACATGCGTGTTCCTTAATCTCGAATTGGTCCGGCTATTATTTTTTTCAGACTGTTAGAGCAATTTTATAAAATTAAACTTGAACTTTCGATTATGTCAATAGAATTTCCGAATATATTTACTAATAATAAGGATATACAAGCGAAGTATTTTCGAATTAACAAAAAAAGGATTGCTTGCAAAAGGATAAAGGCATATTCTTGTAATAAACTAAGTTTGTTTATCTTAAACGCCGCGGCATGAATGAAGGAAGTTGATTTGTCAGCACTATCCTTATCTTCAGGGCAGATGTTTTTATTTTTTTATCTTATAATTCCTTACTAAGTAGTATTTCATCTGATGTACTCCGTCTTTGATAATTTAAATCAAATGCCGCGTCATTATAATTCGCTTCCGATAGAAGAAAGTGACAAGGTTATTGAAAACAAAAAATTTCGATTGACAAATTGTCGGTATTCTCCACACAGCAATTATGGACTTGAACAGCGGAACTTTGTAACTAAACAAGAATTATGTCTGTTTATAAATAAAGAGAAGTATTATCACATAAAAAACGACAGCAACTTAAACAACTTACATTGAAGGAAATGTTTTAAATAAACAAATAAATATTAAGCTTTTTTTTTTTTTTAAATTTTGATACCTTAATCATAATTGTTCTTTATTTCATAAATTACGGTTTCATATTTTTATTTTATAATTTCTGCATGCCATCTTACCAGATTTAAACTGATGATCTATAATCCGGAAAAATCAAATCCGGAACGCGAAGTCCCGACGAGTCCGG